AATCACTGGCTCACAACTTTAATGCCAGTAGCTCACAAAGTAGAATTTTTGCTATCAAGACTCCACAGCTTAGAGGGAACATTGCTGGGGAAGGCACACATGCCTGGGAATTTTCCTCCCAACACAGATCTTCCTCTTTACCATATCGTGAGCTCTTAGGAGTTCCATCAGGCCAATTTTTCCATTCTCCCCTCTATTTTCTGCTCCCCTCCTCTGTAAAGGATGCTCAGCTGCTCTGGACAACATTCCCTGTCTCCTGGAGGGCAATGAGCATGCTCAGTCTTAGTTGGACCATTTTTCTTGGGAGGGGTGCTTTTTTAATTTACAAAGGAAGGTTTTCCTGCATACCTAAAAAGTGCTCTCACACATACCAAATATACTTTGCTTCTTTTGTTGCCCTACTTTTAAATTCCCTTTCTTATCTAAAAATAAAAGGGAGATGGTCTAATTTAGGCCACCAGCACCATCTTGTGGCCAGACAAGAAATGATACTATTCCCTAAAAATATAAGGCAACTGGGTGAAGGCTACTTTCCATGTGAAAATTGTCAATATCTGTGATCCTTTTAACTTCTATCATTTGTCAGATTCAGAGATGGATATTTTTCAGTACGAACAAGCAGTGCATCCAAGATGGAGCTGAGGCTTGCGAGGGATGCTAAAGATAACAAGAAAGGTTTCTATGCCTATGTTCGGAGCAAAAAGAAGAACAGGGATGGGGTAAGCGCATTGCTAGGGGAAGACGGTCAAGCCTTAACAAGGGATGAAGACAAAGCGGAATTACTCAACTCTCACTTTGTGTCGGTCTTTAACTGTAAGGCGAGCTGTATACAAACTGAAGAATGCAGGGCATATGAAGGAAGGAGGAACTGCCAGTCCAGAGTAAGTAAGGAGCATCTAGCGGCCTTAAATACTTTCAAATCTCCAGGGCATGATGGCTTGCATCCCAGGGTGCTAAAAGAAATTGCAGATGTTATTTCAGAGCCTCTGGCTCTAATCTTTGAGATGTCCTGGAGTACTGGTGTTGTGCCGGAAGACTGGAGAAGAGCAAATGTTGTCCCGATCTTCAAGAAGGGAAAAAAGACGAACCCAGGAAATTACAGGCCTGTCAGTTTGACATCAATACCTGGAAAAAATTCTACAGCAGATTATTAAATGCTCTGTCTGTGAGCACCTTGAACGGAATGAGTTAAGTGGTAGTAGCCAGCATGGGGTTTTCAAGAATAAGTCATGCCAGACCAACCTTATCTCCTTTTTTGACAGAGTTACTAAAATAGTTGACTCTGGCAATGCTGTGGATATAGATAGTGTATCTAGATTTCAGTAAAGCATTTGACAAAGTTTCTCAGGTACAAAAAATCAAAGGCACAGATATAAAATTGGAGGGACTCAGCTTGACAGCAGCACATGTGAAAGGGGTCTAGGTGTTCTGGTTGATCACAAGCTAAACATGAGCCTGCAGTGCAATGTGACTGCGAAGGAAGCTAATGTAATCTTAGGATGCATTAACAGAAGCATTGTGTCCAAATCACGGGAGGTGGTAGTTCCGCTCTAATCTGCTATGGTCAGGCCTCACTTGGAGTACTGTGTCCAGTTTTTGGCACCACATTTTAGGAAGGATGTTGACAAGCTCGAGCGTGTCCAGAAGAGGGCAACCAAGATGGTGAGAGGGTTGGAATCCAAGTCTTATGAGGAAAGGCTGAAAGAGTTGGGTATGTTTAGCCTGGGAAAGAGAAGGCTTAGAGGGGACATGATTGCAGTCTTCAAATATTTGAAGGGCTGTCATGTAGAAGATGGAGTGGATCTAGTCTCTCTTGCTCCGGATTGCAAGACTAGATCTAATGGGTGGAAACTACAAGGGAGTCGTTACCGGCTAAATATCAGGAGGAACTTCCTAACTGTAAGAGTGGTTGAGCAATGGAACAGACTGCCTCGGGAGGTGGTGGATGCTCCTTCACTGGACATTTTCAAGTGGAGGCTGGACGACCATCTTTCGGGTATGTTGTAAGGCTATCTTTCGGCTATGCTCCTGCAGAGTGCAGGGGGTTGGAATAGATGACCTGCGAGGATCCTTCCAACTCTAACATTCTATGATTCTAAGTGGCAGAGGTTAGGTGTTTAAAAAAAAGCTGATTTTGGGCACGCCCAACACGTATTATTTATTTATTTATTTATTTCAATTTATACCCCGCCCTCCTCACTGAATTTTGCTGCTCTGGGGTGAACCCAAGTGGCACCTTCCCTTATGAAAATGTGGGGGCCCCCACAATGCTCCAGGAAGTTCTGCTGCGTAAACTTCACTGGAGTACATAAGAGCCAGGCGAAGGCATTGTAGGAAAATGCATTGTAGATCACTCGTGGAAGAGGTGGTGTGGTTTGTGTGGTTAAGTGGTAGAGGCTGGGGGGGTGGGGTTGTTCCTTCCTCATTGCCCACCACAGTCTCAATCCTCATTGTGCCTGTGCAACCTGAGAATTATGTTTCATCAGAAAACTCCCTGTGTGGGTCTGGTTCGAGGGCACTCAAAGCAGACCTGTGGATAGCACAATGTGTAGATAGGCCTCAGGAAAGGGATGTAGGACTGATATGCCACCCACCCCCACTTAAGAGCCTGAGCATTGCTTACTTCCCTATGGGAGACTGAGCTAGCAGGAGAGCTTACCTCCCTCTGGGATTAAAAAGTCTGAACACTGTTGGCATCTGCATATGAGACAGAAGGTAGAGGAGAAAGAGGAAGAGACTGTTAGCACCCGCCTCTTCGCCCATAGACTTCTTTGCAGTCAATTTATATTCAGTTGCATATTTTTTCATTATTATTCATATAGTAATTGTTTCACACCTAATATCAATACTATGCTGTTCTTCAATGATTATATACTCATAATTTTACATATTATTTTGTTATTCCCTGTTGTTCATACATATATTACCTTATTTATATACTTATATTTTTTGGCAATTTGTTGATGTTTTGCATTTTTGTACCTGGCCTATGCATTATGCGTAATTTGAATTGTTCATTTTTTAATTCAAATAGTTTAGTTTATATCACATTCTGTGTTCCATTGGTTTGATCTATTGAAGAGGGGTCCTTTGTAGACACTCAGGGTAGACCGTAATTTGAACTGCTTTTGCTAAACTTCACAGCACCTAAAAGTTTCTTTAAGTCTACAGCTTATCTGTGAAAGAAATGTCCAGAGGACTACACAATTCAAAAGAAAAAAAACCTGAACAGAATTTTATTTGTAGAGAAGATTTGATAAATAGGCCTTTTATACCCTTTCAACTAGTTTTATTTAGGGGGATCATTGTTAAGTGTTTTATAACAGTAACTGTACTCTGCTGCAGTGAAGTAAACAAGGTTCTCAGATGTACATTAATGCTGTGCGATACCTAGAGAAGGTGATACTACGATCTGCTGTTATAGGAAACTCAAGAATATTGTAAGGACCTGGCAAAGGGTATTCAATGCAGAAATGCATACCTTCCATCCTGGCTGAGGTTTGCTCCAGGATAGTCTGGTGCGTCAAGAATATTATCTCGTATGCTTTTAAACTGCAGTAGGCCAAAGTGAGCCAGAAAGAAAGTAACGTCATGGGGCAGAAAGGTGAGGCTCTTACAGATCGCCAGGCACATTCTGAACTTGTTTTACGGCAGTGCAGTTGAGGTTCCAGTTCCCTGTCCTTTGACTGTCTGTACTGCACATTATTGGCTTGAAGACTAGGGTGCATGATCTTTTACTAGCATTATCCAACAGGGAGGCTGTTAAAATGTCATGCATTCTGCACCTGGGAAAGGTAATCAGGATTAGTGAGAGACTTGGATCATGTGCAGTCAGGCATCAGTGTCTGGCCCAGCGCTTTCCTCCATGAATCCAAAAATCAGTATTGCGTGACTTAACCAAAAGACCCAACTTAACAGTCCCCTGCAGTGGAGCCAGGTGGGCAACCCTCCATTATTCATTAACCACTTGGGAATGCCAGTGAGTTTCCATGCACTGGGCCCTGACCCAGTTTCCAACTACCACTCTTTGCTGTAGCAGGAGAAGAGCAGCCCTGCTGGATTAGACCAAGGTCCGGCATTCTACTTCCAGCGGAGCTTTAGGGAGATGAGGGCCTTCCCCGTATTTTGTCTCCAACAACTTTTATTCAGTGGTTAGTGCCTCTGTCGATCGAGGTTCCACTGCATTATCATAGCTAGTAGCAACCATGGCCAGACCTATGTTCTATATGAATTTGTCCAGGGTTTTATAATAAGACATCTAAGACAGAAATTGCCAGGATGATGCAGAACCTACAGTGTACCAGGTTGGGTCTGAGGTGATCAGATTCAAATTCCCACCCTGCTATGAAGCTTGCTTATGTTTTAATCTTGGAGAAGCCTCTTTTCCCCCTTGCCTTGTAGGCTTGTTGAGTATCTATAAAACATTACATTTGAACTCCTTAGAGGAAAAGCGGTAAGTATACCAAAGTCTAGGGCATTTGTGCTCTAAATCAATAAAGTGAACATCTCTTTTGAATCGTTTTTTGGTTTGTCAACAACAGCCAGCGTGGGAAAGGAGAGCGGTCTGTGGGGGTCTGGGTTCAAATCCTCTTCATCCATGAAGCTCATTACCAATGCTCCCTCTAAGTTGTGGAGTCTTGTGTGCAAAAATTCTACTTTGTGAGCTACTGGCATTAAAGCTGTGAGCTACTGGCATTAAAGTTGGCTACTGCATAAATTAGTTTGCTCTGGAGCCATCCTCCCTGAGCGAAGACAAAAATGTGTGAGCCGGAGGCTAAAAAACTGTGAGCTAGCTCACACTAATTCCGCTTAGAGGGAACACTGCAGTCATTACCCAAGCTATTTTTCTCCCCAGCCTAACTTATCTCCTTAAATGAAACAACCTCAGTGTAGATTCCCTGAGCTCTTGGTGGTACAGATCAAGGAAGGAAGACAGTACAGCAGTACTATTAATTCCAAGTTGTGAACACAATGCTTACAACTTAAGTCATGTTTTATTTAAACCATAACTTATGGAAAGTCCGGGGACAAATCCACACAAGGTTAACAGCGAATGTGGAGGGGAAACTAAAGAGAACAGGGTCATTCTGCCCAACTCCATATAAGCCACCAGCCTAAAAAGATCAGAGTTGCTCTCAGAGGAGACCTTGGCAAAGCCCTTCTTCCAGTCCAGCCTAAAACCACCCTCCCCCGCTGTACACAGTTGGCCAAACCCACACGGTGTGTCGGTGCTTCACTTTGGGAGTGGAGCTGGGCCAAAGGCAACAGGCCTATGACAGCCTGGTTCCCACCCTAGCTGAGCCCCGCTTCACTGCCGCTGTCCTCGTCGAGCTGAGCCAATCCCTTCTCCGCATCTCCCTTCTCCACATAGTTGAGGATGCGCCGGTTGGCTTGGATCAAGTACTGTTGCTGGCGGAAGTAGACTTTGAGGGCTCCCTTGATGGCGACAAAGGCAATGCCTCCCTGCCGGAAAAACAGAGGGTGGAAGTGAAGTTGACAGCCACAGATTATCTCCCCTTTCCCGCCACCCCCTCCTCACAAGATAAGCACTGAATAAGCATACCATACAGGTTGTGAAATACTGTCTACTCCAAATGGCAGCAGTCTGTCAAGGGATCTGGCAGGGGGTCTCTCCCAGCCCCAGCAACCTTTTCATTAGAGGGACACTGAGGGCTGAACATGGGGGTTCCTATCTGCCAGGCAGGTGCACTGTCCCAGGGTCCCGCCAGGCAGATGGGTGAGGGATATTGCGGCACCGTGCCTGCTAGTGACTCCTTTGAAATTCTGCCAAAGCATGATACCTCCACCCTTCCCCCATCCCATTCCTCACCAGAATGGTACGTTGTAGGCTGGAGTTCACTCTGCGGAACATGACCCTGCCAACTAGATTGGCAATGGTAGGGAAGACCAGAGCTCCACAAAGTGTGCGCGAGATGGACAGGTGGTCATTCTGGTAGCGGGACTCGGCCAGTGGTGCCTGCACAAGGGGACGGCTGACCCCTGAAGATGAAAGAGAAGAAAAATCAGGGTGTTTGAGAAGTAACAGGATGCCTGTGCTATGCCTCCCACACCCAAGGTGGTCTAACACCTGCCCTTTCAGCTATTCTATGCTGGATTACGTCCACGCTTGTCACACAGCCTGGCATGTAGAGCACCTTAAGAGCCAGGCTACATGTTAGCCTCACCACAATGGCACAAGTCTGCTCCAACTTTTGAGAATTCTGAATTCCCTCTCTTATAGGCAGAGGAAGCTGAAAGGGATCACAGACACAGAGAGAGAGAGAGAGAGAGAGAGAGAGAGAGAGAGAGAGAGAGAGAGAGAGAGAAAGAACAGAGAGAGAGACAGAGAGAGAGACAGAGAGAGAGACAGAGAGAGAGACAGAGAGAGAGACAGAGAGAGAGACAGAGAGAGAGACAGAGAGAGAGACAGAGAGAGAGACAGAGAGAGAGACAGAGAGAGAGACAGAGAGAGAGACAGAGAGAGAGACAGAGAGAGAGACAGAGAGAGAGACAGAGAGAGAGAGAGAGAGATAGAGACAGAGAGAGACAGAGAGAGACAGAGAGAGACAGAGAGACAGAGAGACAGAGAAATGGAGGCCCCTGGCTATCTTCCCCCACCTGTTCTTTATCTCTACTTCTCTCCCCTTAAGGGTTAAGTTCCCCCTTGCTCCTCTCTCCCCCACTAAGGAAAGAGTAAAGCAGAGACAAAGAACAGAGCTAGAAAGGAGGTGAGGGACTCCTCGTTCCCGGTTCATCTGACTGTTACTCCCTCCAGCTTTCTCCACTTGTTCTTTGGATTTTCAACAGGCAGAGGTGGTTGTGCTCACAAGGGACAGCACACTTTGCAGCCCATCTCTAACTCTTTTTCTCCTTTCCTCTTGTTTGCCACAGGTGGGCCTGTGCAGTGATTCCATAAAAGCACAGAAAGATGAATGACCACTAAATTCAACCCCCTATGAATTCCACCTGTCATTAACACAAAAGCACCTGCAAGATCCTAGCCCTTGCGGTTGCCAAGATGTGTTAGCGATGCCAGGTAACACCTTAGCAGCCAGACAGGTTGCTGAACAAATCCTTCCGGTGCTTGGAGAATTTCCAGCAGTCCTCCCACTGTATCATGGCTAAATCTACCTCTCCTTCCTTCCAATTCAAAGCAAGATGCCCAGATCAGAATCAGCTTGCAGGTAGATGGACTCACCTGGCACCAAAGCCTGCAGAGCCTGAAGCTTGCTGGAGTACTTCCGCCAGACCCGCAGCACGTAGTCTTCCCAGCGGATCATCTTGCCCAGGACCAGCATCACAGGGATAGTAGGAAGCCCCATGAGCAAGAAGAGAGGGTCTGCCCGCTCCATCACATCCAGCCCCTTCTTATGGCCGACAACCTACAAAAGGAGAGAAGATCAATCAGCAACATAGATAGGATAGGTGGGCAACTTCTACTTCTATCAATCAGGAGAACCACGTTTCATTTATACAACACAAACCTTAAGACACACAGTACGGGTTTCGAGCACAGTCTAGTTCCAGGGCATGACACAAAATTCTCCCTGAATTGCTTATTCTTACAGCCTCCCCCCACCAGTGCATTATTTTGTGGCATTGTCACTAAGCATGGTAATTTACAGAGTAACACAAACAAAAAAGGCAGATCCTGAGCCAAGCAGCTTAAAGGCCAAGTCCTCATCATTCTCCTTCTTCCAAATGAAGAACTAAAGGCAAGAGAGTAAGTCCTTGGCTGACCTGCAATTTGAACCCACCACTAGCTAGATAGCACCTCATCAACTTCTTCTACAGATCTAATAGATTCAGGTGGGGTAGTTGTGTTGGTCTGAAGCAGCAGAACAAAATTTGAGATCAATGGCACCTTTAAAAGCAACAAAGTTTTATTCATGGTACAAGCTTTCATGTGCAAGTACGCTTCCTCGGATACTGTGCTTGCACATGAAAGTTTACACAGTTGTTGGTCTTAATGGTGCCACTGGACTCAAACTTTGTTCTACAGATCTAATAAACACTCTCAACTTGCTCTGGTGATGCAAAGAGCCACCAGACTCAGCAAAGTTACTATCAGCCTAAAAACGCACCACTATCAAATGGTCTTGCTTTTGGAAATAACCCTATGCAATTGGGAAAAGATATCTCTTGATAATAGTGATTAACCTTTCTTGAATTAACCTACTGATTAAAGCTGGCAACCCCTCTAAGCCTTCTTCGTAAGGTTTCTGGTGTGGTATTCCTTTACACACAAGCACACACATACACACAAACACACTTTCCACAAACCCTCACATTACCTGCATCACAGTAACTGCCCCATAGGTAACTGCTGACCAGTATAATGTCCCCACGACAATGCCAGCAGCAGCAAAGGGGCTCACTTTGGATAAAACCCGGTCCACTTGCTGCAAGAAATATACCAAGGGTCCTAAGGAGGGGGAGATTACAAACGTCAGTGAAAGCTTTTAGTCATCGCAGGCATTTCTACAGCTTCATGCTTTCCTGACTACCTTCAGAATTAGGGCTCCCTCATATCTGAGCTTTCATTAAAAATATCTGAACACACGAAGGGGATTTATACCAAGTCAATTCAAGATCAGTACTATTTACATGGACTAACAGCAGCTTTCCAAGCTGTTAAATTGAGGTTTTTCAAATCACCTTCTACCTGACCCTTTTGACTGGATGCCATGGACTGAGCCTGATTGGAACTGTCACAGAGCCACAGTCTCACCCCAATAACGGGGGGACAGACTTTTTTTGGCCTCAGAGTCACATCTGGCTCTTTGCCCACTCTTGGGGCTCTGAGTGGGCACCAGCTGTTCCTGTTCCAGAGCCAGAAACAGGAACTACCACTGTCCATTTCAGAGCCCTCAGCAGTGGGCAAATATCCAGACATGGTCCCCCTCCTGCTTTGCTGCTCTTAATAGAATATAGCACTTGAACTGTTTAACAATTTTTCAGGACAATCAGCCCACTAGATGATATTATGGTCCAGCAGGCCAGTGCTCCCCACAAACTGCAGAGTAGACTTGCAGGCCAGATAAAAACTGCCTCTCCCTCCATGCTTTATATCCATTGCCCAATAAGAAGAAAACCTTGTCCTAACTTCAAATTCCAGTATTCCAGCTAAAGAACAGAAGGAAACTAGAAAGACTGAGAAAAATGTAGCTCTTATTTTTTTAGGCTTCCTAAATGAATCACAATAACATTTAAGAAATTTTTTGAAAAACATAATTTTCAGTGGATTAGACTAGCTATAGTTAGGGGGTTTTTTTGCTGATCCCCACTGACTCGCAATACACACAGAGCAATCTACACTCACACCTCCCCAGCACAAAACCTCTGTCTATGGTTCAGGGAGCTCATCACCTCTTTTACTAACAAGAGAAAAAGAAACAGTTTGGCATGATCAAACCCAATGACTATGTAGCCCATGGATGGCATGTTTTCTAAGCCAAGAGGAGCAGCTTTTCTTAGGAATGTCACCCAAAATGAAGCATGACTTCAAAAGCTTTTGAATCTTCAATACTCCACATTTCAGTACAATATAACATTTGGGGCATGACTTAACCCTTAAAAAAAAAATTGTTGGAATGAACAAATTGCCCCTTCAGTTTGTAAGAAATTTTAATTTACCTGAACTGATTTACAAGCTGTTCATCCAATTACTGATTCATGCTCTACCCCAAAAACCACAGTCATTAAAACAGATCACTCAATATCTGAAGTCCTGTGTCTGTTCAAGTAGGGGACCATCCACTGTTCATTCAAATTCTGATTATCCGTCTTCTTGTTTGCTGTTCTTGGTTTCTATACATTTTATTTTAAATATACTGCATTGACCTGTGGTCTTAAAGAATAAAATATGTGGAGGCAATATGAAATTTCCAAATGCAGAGGCTGCATACCACTTTGGAGGGGCTTGGGGCTAGTAGCAGAGCACTTGCCTGGCATGTAGTTAAAGGATTTCAGGTAACAGGTGTTGAGAAGATGGAGTGCTGCCAGTCAGAGAAGTCAATTCAGATCCAGACATAAATTCATACCTCCGATTACCAGGTTCTGGGAACAAGCATCACTATCCTATCTGGTTTATGAGTTTCCCTCGAACCTCTCTGGTTGGCCATTCTTAATGGTGCTGAACAAGATGGATTTTTGGTCTGATCCTGCCAGGCAGTTATTATTGCTGAATCACACCACCCATTGCTTAAGACTGCTGTGTGGCCCACAGGTAGTTAGGGTTTTTTAAATGGTGACCCTGCAATTCAGAAGATGGAACGCTACACTAGTCAGGGGGCTGCATTCCAGCATTAGGCACAGCTGACATTTTAGGAAAGGTTTGTGTGCCCATTCTGGAAGAGAGGAGGAAACCAGGAAAAGCCATAGCCTGCAAGGTAAACTATTCTGAAGAGAACTTCTACAATGGGGATCGATGGGTATCTGAACCCTTTGCACCTTAGAAGAACCCGCTTGCCTTTGACCAGCAAATCTGTTGCTCCGGTTGCGCTATCAGCAATCAGGGGAGTCTGTGTGCACAACCTGCAAGGAAATGTAAGACTACCCAGCAATCAGAGAAATGTTCACTCACTCAAGTTGGATATCCCAAGTCAGTTTCACACTCACCCAGTTTGGGGAAGACAATGTGGTATTCTGTGCCACACTGCGGGCAGCTCACTCTGCCTGTGCTGTTGCCTTTCTGCTTCTCATCCAGCCAGCGCTGGAGGCAGGCCTGGTGGATCCATTTGGTGGAGCCTTTGCAACGGCAGGGGCAGACCCACTCAGCTGACCGGTCATCACCCTCGGTAGCAAAACAGACCCAGCAGTGCCTGGGAAAGGGAGATCAGAGAGAGAATGATCACTGAGAAGCCTTCCCAAGCAAAGGAGGAAAAAAGTTTAAGACTTCCTTCTGTGTTGCTAAATAATGACAAAATGAATAAAAAGATGAGATGGGCCACGGAGACTCATTTTTGTCTGAAGCATGGAGACAGGCAGGTCACTGGAAGAGGTAGGCAGCAGAGTATCTCATGATACCAAAGGAGGAACTCAGGGAGGCAAGAAGATGCTTGCAACAGGCTTGGAACTTCCCCGGGTGCTTTTTACAAAGGTAAAGCTCAGCATGCAGCTCTCAGCCCAGAAAGCACCCAGATAGGAACCCCATGTATGGTTCCCAAAAGGCATAGAACAGAGTGCCATAAATGAATGATATTTGTTTGGGTGTAAATAAGTGACTTTTAAAAGTTGGGAACATCCCCCTGCTACACAGCCACTTCCACTGCAACAACTGAAAGGGAAATGCAGGCTTTCCCTACTGACAGAACCTCTGTGTCTGAAGAAAGAGTTGGCATTGCAGCTGCTGCTTCCAAAAAGACTCCCACATCCAATGGCCTAATCACATATGTAGCATAATGTGGGAGCAGCAAATATGCATGAACATGTTTTTCAGCCTAAACTGGCCACCAACATTTTGTTAAACCACCCAGTTCAGAAAAGGACTTGTGTCTTCTGTAACAACTATGTCTTTCTTTGCCTTGGGATCCTCCTGCATTTCAAAAATGGCTTCCCTGGAAAACAACCAGATTTTCTAGTAGAACCATTGTGAGAATGGAGTTAGGGTCCTCCTCCTCTCTCACTTCACCTCTCTCCTCTATCCCCAAATTAGGCTGGAGACCATCTCCCCCTTCCCCCGGCAGATTACTGATCCTGAAGCTAAGTTCTAGCCCAGTTGTTCCTCTGCCACAAATGACAACTCTGGATGCTTCAGGCTAGACTCGGTATGCAATATTCAAGAATAGTACCAGTACCTATCCCGTCATCCAGGCACCTATCAGGGCAATACAGCATTTAGAGACACCCTAAGCATTTCTGAAGATTTGATTTTTCTGAATCTACTCCCATGTTTAGTCATTATTACATCAAGTGACAGTGAGTTCCACTGATGACTTCCTATTTGTCTTTACATCTGAAGCCCATTGATTAACTATAGCAAGTTTATACAAGTGAGCAGGGAGAAATATATATATTTTTGGCCAGAGGGGGAACCCCCCCCCATTATACCAAAGACCAGTGTATTCAGATGCCAACAGGCAGCCAGAACTAAAATACATGCCGCTGTCCCTTGAGGTTTTGTATCTCACTCAGCAGTATACAGCCTATATTTACTACTCTTGTTTTTTAAATCTCACTACATCATAATTCTGCTGGACCCAATGAATTTCTCTGGACCATGTAAAGCATCAGTCCTACCAATCCTGGTGAGCAAGTACAGTAGGGTGGAGATGCTCAGTTTAAATCTCACCTTGGACATAAACTCACTAGGTAGTATCAGGCAAGTTACTCTTTTAACTACCTCCTGCCCCAAACACCTATCTGCAATATGAGGATAATCATACTGCCCTACCTAGCAGGGTTACTACAAAGATTAAGGAGATAATACCCCTAAAGTACTTCAATCACACAAAAGGTATTTCATAAAAGCATTTTAATTAATCATTCTGGAACCCTGGCTATTGCAGCCTGAGTTCCAGAACATGCCCTAGAACACAGAAATATGCCCAGGGCACAGGTGTAACACGGGCACACCCAGCACGCTCAGGTTACACCACGCAAAATTTTCCAAGTGCCCAAACATGACCTTCCCCCCTCTCATAATCCTTTCAACAATCCTGTAAGGTAGTAGGTCAGTATTTTCCCCCATGTTGCAGACAGGGTCTGTGTGGTTGTGGGGTAACACAGAGACATCCCAGCTTGTCTGAAGCCACCTGAGAGAGATGAATATGGATTTCCTGAAAGTTTGACTCGTCGTCCTTAAGTGAGAGAACCCTTGCACACCCCTCAAAGAACGCCAGGCCTCTTTAACACAGACGATCAAGACAAAAATGCAATGGAGTCAGGTATCCGTTTCTATGAGAGTTGAAAGAAGTTTCTGACAGGCATCGCTTCCCAAGGCACACGCACGTCTTTGCCCCTCTAGCCAAAATTCCGTTTTACTGATCTTACACTTGATATTCAAACAAACACGTCTGTACCTCTCCCATGCTTCTCCAGCTGCGGCTGCCTCTGCCATGGGAGCCGCTACCGCCGCCGCCGCCTCGATGGATCAGATCTTTCCCACGCGAAAATCAGCCCTACAGCTCGACCCAAAGACCCAGGTTAGCAAACGACGGCAGCGCCAGGACGGCATCCTGCAGGTTCCATAGCGACGTACAAACACCTCTTTTCAGACCCACCACCAGACTACCCTGACGCGGTTTGTTACCACTGCTGATAACAGGAAGGTCCCTTGACTTGCACGATGCACAGTCCTACGTCTGAGCCGCCCTCTCTGCTTCCGGGTCCTCTTAAAGACACAGACAAACCTTTGGAGGGAGGTGCTTACAAAGCGCTGCAAACAGCTGCCCGCTGGCCTAGGAGCTTCAGCCTCTCGCCCTTTCTTTGTGGCTTTAAGGATAAGCTTCACCTGCCGGAGTTCCGCCTGTCTTTGCTTGTCATTGCTGTGTGTCTAGTTTTCAGGAGTCCCCGGGTTTACTGAATCAGGGGTTCGATTTTTCTCACAGGGATTACCAATCGCCCTGTAGGGGGATTTTCTGATTATGACACTCGATTTCTAAAAACGCAGTTTTGAGTAAAGAGATGTTCCTATGTCTGTTCCAGTGACGTGTTCAGGGTCCCCCCCCCCCCCCCTTTTTGTTCACAGCAGTTCTATTTGATCTGCTATAATCTGTTGAATCTGTAATAATAGATCTATCCCATAGAAAGAAGAATCGCTATTCTCAAAAACTGGGACAGGATTATAGTTGTAAAAATGGGTGGTTCTGAAATAATTGTGGTGGTTCATGTTCATGGCATATGAGGCTGCTGGAGAAATATTGTTCTTTTCTAAATTGATTTACTAGTTTAGTTATGTTGTTAGGTTAGCTATGAGTGTTCTCAATAGAGAAAAATAAAATAATTAGTTGGTGGTTTGCTATTGCTTGCCTCTGCGTAGCAACCCTGGACTTCCTTGGTGGTCTCCCATTTAGCTACTAACCAGACCAGGACGAGCCATGCTTAGCTTCTGAGATGTGATGAGATCAGGCTAGCCTAGGCTATCCAGGTCAGAGAAGAGTTGATAAAACTTTTCATCTTCTTCTTCAATTTGACCTGCTCTTAACACTGCAATCCTACATACAGATACACTCATAGGTACACCCATATAAGACCACAGAACCAGACCTGTCCTGCCGGGATCGGGCCACCAACTCACTTATTCTCAAGGCCCCAAAGAATGCAACCAAGGCAGCCGCATGGAACAAAATGAAAAATGCATCTACCGTTTTTTGCACCAGCTGTCAGGAAAAGATCTCCACCACCCCTCTCATCGCTGGTGTGCCCTGCAACATGGAGGTCGACTCGGGATCGTTCATCACCGTGATCTCTTCGGTGACGTGGCAGCGGCTGTTCCCTACCCGGAGTTGGTGGCGGCTCAAGCCTGCGGACGCAACGGTGTCCGATTTTCAAGGAAAGAAAATTCCTTTGGTGGGAAGGGATACTGTTGATGTTGAGTTCAAGGGGAAATGTGTTACCTTATAATTGCTGGTTGCTGAAGGGGACCGGGTCAACCTACTGGGGTTAGACTGGTTCGAATGAATGAATGAGGAATGGGTGCGGGTGTGCATGCCGTGCCAACAGGCCAGACTCGAGCCTCCTCAGGCTTCCCCTCAAAAGAGGGAATCTACGGACAAGCCGTGGTCTAGGCTACATACAGCTGATCACTTTGTTGTAGGTACGAACAAGCACTTGAAAGAAGTCATAACCAGAACAGATTAACATTGGGAGCTAGGCTCCTTTTAAACATTCCCAGGCTAATGTAGCCACGCTTATTTACACAAAGTAACCAATGAGGTTGCTCGGATAACATCCAATGAGGGTTCTTCCCTCTCAGGGAATTGGTGCAGTTCTGATTGGTCGCTGTTGTGGAGCCACCAATAGTGCGTTAGTTCGGAGGAGCCTTCGTCTGGCTCAAAGCTTAACATGGAACGTTAATGTATGTGGCGATTCATGTAAGTCATTTTTAATACACCACAGTAACTCTGCTTGATTGCACTATTAATCTCTTCACTAATGAGACGGCAGGCAAGTTTTTTGATCATGCATCACCTCATGTCCTTTCTTTGTTTGTTCCAGTATTTGTTCTCTCAGAGATGTGATATCTCAGCTTCCTACCCAGAATACCAGTTCTTCAGAAATTTCCTGGTTATACATCTGGAGCTGTTCAAAAATCTAACCAGACAGTATGCTGGGAGTTCTATGTCAGAAGCTGCCGGAACTGTTTTGAAGGAAGAATCCTGTGAACCTTAAAGACTAACACATTTTAATTCCAGCATAAACTTGTAGGGATCAGAGCCTTCTGTGAGTCTACTTGCAGCATCTTAACTCTTCCTAGCATCTGAAAAAGTGGGCTCCAATCCATGGAAGTTTATGCTGGAATAAAAATGTCTTAGAACTTACTGTGCCACTAGATTCCTGTTTAATTTTTAAATGGTCATAACAGCATGAACGCAAAATTGTTATAATTAAACAAATTAATGAGCAAGAAAAGGTAGCAACTCTAGACTGTTTAGCTCCCCTCCACACACTCTAAGCAGTGTCTGCACATATCTGCCAGATGCCAGGATCATTTGCTATGTGCATGCCATAAGAAAATGAGAAGTTATTTAATTAACACATCGTTTTTCCCTTAAGCGTACCTGTTTGTTGCTTGCTATTGTGAATTTGACAGCCACATAAATTGGCTTAAATTCTCCATCTCATGACTTGTGTCAGGGTTTAGCCCCAACAACCTATTTCAATACCAGCTTCTAAAATGTGAAGCAATAATACAAGGGTCCCTGAGCAAGTGCAGAATAGATTTCATTGTAAAATACTATAACTGGTCACACACCTGGAATTTAATCTCATGCATCCTGCTTTCCCCACAGGAGTGCAAAGAAATATTTTAGTTTCACAACAATCTGGTGAGGGAAGTTAGCTAAGTAACTCACCGAAGGTCACTTGCTGAGCTGTGTGGCAGAGCAGACAGACAGCCACATCTGTACTCCAGACATTGCATTGTTCTGTGGATCTGGGTTGCTGTGAGCTGAGTTTTGAGTTCCATTTAAGTTGCATAAGATGAAATGGTTTAAATTGAATAGCCTAGGTAGAGGAGATTGCAGACTGTTTGCAAATACCACATTCTTTTTAGAACAGTATGGCAAAACCTTTGTGTGCTCCAAAGTTCATGAGTGAAAGAAAACATTCTAATGTTGCCTCAAAGTACACTCCCAGAAATCAAACAAAGGTAATTTTAGTGCTTCCCTTTTCATTCCTACACATATTTAATTTGATGGGGGTCTTTCTTCTTGTACATTCAGACTGCAAAGATAAAAGGTCACAATAAATTGCAAGCTAAATACACACTGAAATAATTCTTGAGAGCCAGTGTGGTATAGCAGACAGTGTTGAACCTGGACCTGGGAGAACTGGGTTCAAATCCTTACTGGATGACATTGAGACAGTTACCACGTCTCTGCAAAATGTGCCTCACAGGGCTGTTGTGAAGGTAAAATTAAGGGGAACCATTTAAACTGCTCTGAGCACCTTGTAGGAAAAGTGGAATACAATAATCATAAATGAATTAGTTGGCAACCCTGTACCCTTAGGGTCCTGCAGGACTATAGCCAGCCTTGTTTACTAGTTGTGGCTGCCACCTTCCCAGATGGGATTTCTAAGAGAAAAGTGAATTCCTAGAAACCAACAAAAACTCCTATCTGCTTCTTTTGTGTTTATGAATTCTTAGTTCCAGAAAGGTGCATAAAGTAAAGGTAAAGGTTCCCTTGCTCGAAAGCCAGTCGAATCCGACTCTAGGGTTGCGGTGCTCATCTCCGTTTCAAAGCCGAAGAGCCAGCGCTGTCCGAAGATGTTTCTGTGGTCATGTGGCCACACCAAGGCGCACGGAACGTTGTTACCTTCCCACTGAAGTGGTACCTATTTATCTACTTGCAATTTCTTGCTTTCGAACTGCTAGGTTGGCAGGAGCTGAAACTAGAGACGGGAGCTCACTCCGTCATGTGGCACCCAGGTCTCGAACTGCTGAACTACCCACCTTCCACAACCTGCAGTTCAGCATCTTAACCACTTGAGCCACCGCAGCTCCTTAGAAAGGTGCATTCTGAATTATAATTATTTTTCAGTGTTTACTTCCCCTAAATACACTGGAACTTGTATGTAAACACCCTATTAGGCTCACAATTATAGCATTTAAAAGGGGATTTCCCTCCCCCCCAGGATCACCTAAGCATAATATTAAGCAGTCCTTAAAAGCTTTGAGGGAATGCAGCAAGCTTGTTCTGTTCTCTACGGCTTTTTATGGGGTGCAAGTTGCAAGCATCTTCTTGGGAGGGTAGAGTTCATTGGGTTTTTATTGTACTGTGTATGTTTTTAATGGGGGGGGGGAGTAAAAGTCATGAGGATCCGTTTAAAATAATCTAGAGCCGAGTTTTACCCAGTCCCTTAAATTTGGAATTCTAAGGTGCCATGAGCCACAAAAGAAACGTAGACTATAAATATTTCAATAAAGGTAAGAGAGGTGGGACTTTTAACACTCCACCTTGAGAATCAGGAGATCGCAGGTAAGCAGAGAGGGGGGATGGATTCTGAAGAACTACCACTTTAGTGGGACACCACCCATCTCAGTTTTAACCAGAAATGGTCTTACTCTTTACAGAAGCCCTCTTAGTTAAACGGAAACTGCAGTGTCATACAAGCACACATTTTAACTGGGGCATATTTAGTGTAATCAGCGGCCTCACCCTGCCTAATACAGCTCTTTAGTTCCCCAAGCCAAACATTTTAAAAAGCAGCAAGGCCGCTTCACTCTGACCAGGAATCACCCCAAACCAAGCAACGCCATTGGGTATCTCACAGGACTCGTAGCGAGGCCTCTGCACCTTTAAGAGCTGAGCTATGACATCACCGCGTTTCCTTCTCGCTCCTAGTGTTCGCGCCACTAAGCCTGATACGGAACCCAAGTCTTGCGGGGCCAATAGGCGATAGCTGTCAAATGGCGAGTCGCACCTTTGGCTAGGCTCCCTTGGGAAGATGCTGGCTGTCACTCACAAAGCAATGTGTGACGCGATTGGTTGAGTGTCGCGATGCCTAGTTTGGCCCTGCCCTCCTCCGTGGCAAAAGGGGGAGGGCAAGCTAGGTTGTGCGGGTTTGGGTGGTGGTTGCCAGGCCGCGGCGGCAGTTGAGCGTCTAGCATGAGGGGGCGGCTGTTGCCCGCT